TTTTTTCTTTTTGCTTATGTGGTGCTGAGGAATCGAACCCAGGGCCTCGAGCATGCAAGGCAAGCGCTCTACCACTGAGCCACCTTCCCAGCCCTAAAATAAAACATTTTATCGTAAGTTTCAGATAACTTTTTTTTTTTCAGGTAAGGGGTGGGTTTATTCATCATTCTGGCTGGCACCAGGCAATGTTGGCCCTCCATGCAGCTGGGAAAAGACCTGGGAAAGAGAGTTTCAGATAACTTTGAAAACTTTTTTAACATCAGCAGCTCCTGTAATGCATAGTCAGAATCCCGATTTCACTTCTATAAAATTGGTCAAGAAGCTGATATAGTGCTAGGCATGGTGTTGTATGTCTGTAAACCCAGAACTTGGGAGGCTGAGGTAGCACAATTCCAAGTTCAAGGCTAAGCCTGGAATATTTGCAAAGAGACCCTGTGTCAAGAAAATGGGGATTAGAAGAGCTGAATATGTAACTTTAACATTTCCTTCCTCTGTGTGTATGTGTGTTGGTACTAGAGTTTTTAGAGACTTATACTCTCTAGGCAGCTGCTCTACTAGTTGAGCCACAGTTCCAACCCTTTGCTCTGGTTATTTATTTGTACCAATACCAGGGCTTGAACTCAGGACCTCAAGTTGTCATATTTATTTTTTGTTTCTTTAAAAAAATTTTTTTTTGGGGGGGGTCTGGTCATGGGGCCTAAACTCTGCGCCTGGGCACTGTCCCTCAGCTCTTCAGCTCAAGGCTAGCGCCCTACCACTTGAGCCACAGCACCACTTTCGGCTTTATTCTTTTTGCTTATGTGGTGCTGAAGAATCGAACCCAGGGCTTCAGGCATGCAAGGCAAGCGCTCTACCACTGAGCCACCTTCCCAGCCCAAAATTTTCTTTATTTTATTGTAAAGAGGCTATACAGAGGGGTTACAGTTACATGAGTAAGGTAATGAGTACATTTCTTGTTGAACATTGTTACGCCCTCCTTTGTTTCCTTCCTACTATCCCTTCCCTCCCAGTTGTGATATTTCTTTGCTTATGGCTGATATTTTACCCAAATTTTGCTGGCTAAGTTAGATTGAGCTGGCTTCAAATCTCAGTCCTCCAAGTCTTGGTATTCCACATAGCTAGAACATCCTAGCTATTTGTTACATCCTAAATAGCTAGGACTCTTAAGTAAGCTGGGTACCAACTTATTTTTGAGATAGGTTCTTATATTTTCCCCAGGCTACCCTGTGATCCTCCTATTTATGCATTTTGTCATAGCCAGGATGACAGGTATGGACCACTGCATCCTGAATTTGGTTGGGTTAGGTTGTCGTGAACTTTCTGCCTGGGCTGATCTTGAACTTCAGTCCTCCCAATCTCAGCCTCCTTAGCTGGAATTATAGGCTTGAGCCACCATGAGTGGCTCTCTTTCTTCATCTTTCCCCTAATTAATAGCTTTAAAAAAAGAAGTTAATTCATTTCTTTGAGTGTTTTCCTAAACTTTCTGCTAATTATAAAAATGAAACTGTAGGGGCTGGGAAGATGGCTCAGTAGTAGAGCGCTTGCCTTGTATGCATGAGGCCCTGGGTTCGATTCCTCAGCACCACATAAGCAAAAAGAAAAAAGCCGGAAGTGGCACTGTGGCTCCAGTGGTAGAGCGCTAGCCTTGAGCTGAAGAGCTGAGGGACAGCGCCCAGGCCCAGAGTTCAGGCCCCATGACCAGCAAAAAACAAAACAAAAAAAAAGAAACTGTATACTATCATTGATTTATATAATATATAATTAAATCACATAGTTACAGTAGCAAGTTCAGTTAGCACAAACAGATCTGGGAGCAGACACTGCTGGTTCCTGGTAAGGACACAGTAGGCTGGGGAGGGCAGAAGCAGAGGGAGGTTAGAAAGAAGCTGGCAGGCTCTGGGCATTCTTCTTGCCACAGTGGCAGTCTAGTTGTGTAGCAGGAATGGAGAGCGTTAGTTAATTTGGAGATGTGAGTAAATGGAAATTGGTTAGAAGATCCTGGCACAGCATGTACCTATGACTGTCTTTAATGCCCCATGGAATCAAGCCATCCCAGAGAGCTGAGGTTATATTGGTTGGCATGAGGAATCAGGTGTTTCAATCTGTTTGCTATGAAGTAATTAAGATTAGTTTGTGGTTGAACTTTTTTTTTAGTGTCCAGAGTTAACAGAGCAGAAGCTTCGTTCCTCTTTGGAGGACAGTATAAATGAACACAGCACACACTGTCCTCATACACCCCAGTTTTCAGTCACTGGTGGGACAGAAGAAAAACCAAGTCTTCTCATGAATTGTCTGGTAAGCTTCCCACAGGACCCAGTAGTGGCAAGAGCATCAGGGCATCAGCATGATTTCCATACATGTTAGAAGGGCATGGTGGCACATATCCATAACCAATCATAGTACTTAAGAGGCTGATGCAGGAGGCTCACAAGTTTGAGGTCAGCCTCAAATTTAAAAAATTCTGCCTCAAGGGACTGGGAAGGTGGCTCAGTGGTAGAGCGCTTGCCTTGCATGCCTGAGGCCCTGGGTTTGATTCCTCAGCACCACATAAGCAAAAAGAAAAAAGCCGGAAGTGGCGCTGTGGCTCAAGTGGTAGAGCGCTAGCCTTGAGCTGAAGAGCTGAAGGACAGCGCCCAGGCCCAGAGTTCAGGCCCCACGACCGGACCCCACCCCCCCAAAAAAAATTCTGCCTCAAATTAAAACAAAAAAAAAAAGGTCACTAGTCGCTTCTATGGCAGACCACTGCTCTGGGAATTGGGACACCTGGCTATACCACCTGCTTTTTTGCTGGATCAGCAACAGTGGTCATTGCACTTAAACCAGGTCACAACCATGTAATCCCAGTGGCCATGTATCACTTTTGTAGACAGGTGAAGTATAGGAAGTACAGCAAGATAGCACTCAGCAAGGTCACTCAGCAAGGCGTCACTAAAGTCCAAGATTAGCTTCTTGCCCCAAGTGGTAATTCAGGTTGAAGGACAGGGCCACACAGAAGGGTTCAGGAGCCATCTGGCTTAAAGGCCTTATAGGCTTGGTAAAGGAACTGATGTCTCACAATTAGTGTACTGCCAATGTATAATATATACCAATGTTGTCATAGCTTCAGGGTCTCAGACAAGGGAATTTTGGCATTATTGAGCACTAGGTCATGCCAGATGCTCAGTCAAGTCTACCTCCACATGGAATCAGCCAACTGATTCTGGGCTGTAGCTCCAGCTGTAGCTGAGGCCATGTTTCCTGTATGCTGGAGTTTCTGCTTCATATGTCTGTGTCTTTGAGAGCAAGGACTACATTTTATTTTTATGCCCAGTGGCTGGCATGTGAGTAGGTGCTTAATATGTGTTTACTAACCAGTTCAAGTAGAGGCAGAGCAGCTGAAAAGGCAGGTCCAGATGGCCTCAACTTATAAGAAAACGAATGAATCATCCACAGATGGTAGCTGTGCTAGTGTGAACCTCCTTGAAGTGTTAGCTTTGGACCAAGAACCCAAGAGAATGGAAGAGCCAATTGAAAAGAGGAAAAAGGTGGTGGTGGTGGTGGTGCACTTCTGAAATCCCAGCACTAGGATGGATGACACAAAAGAATTCAAGAGTTCAAAGCCAGCCTGAACTACACAGCAAGACCTTACCTAAAATATAAAAAAGCAAGTGTGGCCAGGCGCTGGTGGCTCACGCCTGTAATGCTAGCTACTCAGGAGGCTGAGATCTGAGGATCCGGGTTCGAAGCCAGCCCGGGCAGGAATCTCCATGAGACTAGTTAACCACCAGAAAACCAGAAGTGGAGAATAGGGCTTAAAAGTGGTAGAGCACTAGCTTTAAGAACAAAGAGGCTCAGAGAGAGCACCCAGGCCCTGAGTTCAAGCTCGAACACTGACAAAAAAATTAAAAAAAGCAAATGTGGCCAAATATGATTATGTAGTCTGTAGTCAGTTTCTGGGAAAGCTAAAGCAAGGATTGAGCCCAGAAATTCAAGATCAGCCTGAATAATATAGCAAGATCTTCATTTAAAAACTTAAGAAATGAACTAATTACTGCATGTACACCTACAGGTTAGTCTGCATTTTTATTGAGAACTCACACTGGGAGTTCAGGGCCCTGTAACTCAGAGCAGTGGTGAAACGAAATGGTGGTCTGGAAAGTGGGCGCTGTGCAGCAGTGATATAACATGACAGACAGCACTGGCTCTAGAAGAGACAGGGAAAAATTGTTTTGGGTAAGGAGTGTCACAGCAAAGATGAGAACCTGGAGTTGGGGCCAGGGGGGAAGGGGGAGGCACAGGGGCAGGGAATGACAAAATTTGATTCAGTAGTCTCCAAGTTCAGTATCTTGAGATGTAGACACTTGGAGCCCACTCTACCCCAGACCTCACTATTTGTGAAGTACAAGATGCTAACACTGAACAACGACTTGGAGCATTTGTGGTATGTGGTCTGAAGTTGGTCCTGGGGATAGAATGTGCTGAGCCACCTCTTGGCAGGGGTTGTTACCTATGGGACCCACCTTAGCAGAGTGGTGGGACTGAACTAGCAAGGAACCTAGTCACTTTACTCATTCTGACCAATCCTTTTACAGGAGATAAAGGGAAGGTCTGTGGAATTGATGGTCCTTCGGGCTGTTTTGCCTATAGTGAAGGCTCCAAGATGTCACATTTTGATCTTTCTGTTCACCTGTTTTGTGAGGGTATATTTGACTATTCAGGACTCAGTCTTAGCTTGAAGCCTGAATTGCTACTGCTGGCTTCAGTATAGTTGTTTGGCACTGCAGAGTAGAGGTCCAGACAAACTCAAATAGAGCTATCTCTGAAGTCTTTGATAAAACATGACAGTGCTCTCATTGGCAATCATAACTGATATGTTGAATACCAAGGAGTGTAAATGTCAATGACGACATATTTTTAGATTGGGGGGAGGGGGGTACTCAGGGCTTTGAGCTTGGCAGGCAGGCACTGTACCGCTTGTCATAACCCCAGCTCTTTCTGCTTTATTTTTCAAATAGTCTCATTTTTTGCCCCCTCCACCTGCCAGGTCAACCCGGACCTAGATCCAGGTTACGCTTTCCATGTAGTTTGGCTGGCAGCCACACAATCACCATACCCAGTTTTTTCTCATAGACTTGCCTGACCAGGCTGGCTTCAAACTATGATCCTCAAATCTCAAGCTTCTTGAGTAGCAGGATTACAGGTGTGAGCCACCAGCACCTGGCCCAGCTTTTTTACTAAAATAGTCCTGGGATTTTCCCCACCCTGGCCTTGCTACCTGATTATGACTTTTAACCCTATATTGATAGCTCTTCCTGACCAGATTCAATTTATGCTAACTTCTTTTCCTGACTAGGTGTGTGACACTTGGGCTGTGATCCTCTAGAGTCAACTGAGGCACACATCATTTTTCTGGGTTCAAGACAAAAGGGGCCTTCTGTTTACAAACCACTTATTTATAACTTATTTTACATTAAAAGTTTCAAACAACTCCGTTTGTGGTGTTTCAATGCATAGAAAATACAACAACAATTTTGGAGGAGATAAAACAATTTTATTGTCTCAGGTTATACAAAAATCCAGAAATAATTTGTACAGAAAAAAATACAGGATGAATAGTAAATGTGAATGCAGTGTCAATAATTTAAACTTGCTCTTTTTCCCCCATGATAATGAGGATAACCATTTGAAAAGCACATGATTCTGTTATCAGGGTAGTTTTGCTCACTGGCCAAATGTAGCTGTGAAATTAAGGCCTTCACTATCTCTCACAGTACTACTGACTCTTAACGAAACTTTTGAGGTCTTCAAGAAAGGTAATATACTCCTGGTGCTCCAGGGCTGTGCTAAGCTCTACCAGCTCATCGGCGAAAGTGTTGTCCACTCCTCGGTCCGCAAGAAAATCCATTAGATGGTCATACAAAGCCTAGGAAGAACATTTATTAGTATTTTTTAAAAGACAATCTGTAACACCATTTAAAATGAAAATGTTTGTTTCTTCTTGGCCTTGAACTAGCTAGGACCCTATCTTCCAAGACCCCAACAAACTCACCCAGTCCAGGGAATCTGTGTTGAGTGTGTAATTCGTATCCTTCCATTCAGAGTCACCCATGGCCTGAAAGCTAACTTCCTTGATGGAGAAAATGTCACTCTCAGCCTCCTCCTCCTGTCCAATCTGAAAGAAAACAGTATTTAGAGAAATTTGTTTCCCAAAACAAGCCAGATTTATGCAAAGAAATGGTTAATAGTTTGAATTTCCCCAGGTTCTAATCTTGTTCCCTCCTCACCCTCACTAATCTTCTGTCTGGAGTACCTGCTAGAATAAAGAGACTACAAAGGTCCCAGGAGGCACTCCACCCAACATACCTCATCCTCTGGATAGTGACAGTCCAGTACCAGGGCCTTCTTGCCATCACTCTTTGTAACTTCAACTACAAAATTGGGGGTTGATGTCAGTTCCGGCTGGGGAAACAAAAACAAGTCAGCAATGCCACTTGTTAGGAGGGTCCGTGCCTGGAATAACAGAATATTAATGTCTCATTCCCCACTTTTTATAATGATTTAAGGGTCAGTTTTAGAATTCCAGCTCCAGTTAACAGATCTCCATCTTCGTAGGCTGGTTTCTTCACATACACATCAGAGGTGGCCTAAAGCCCTTAAAGACCCATTTTCAACTTGACTCCAATCCTTTATTACAGAGCAGACTCAAAGTCTGACACATGGCTTTGACTAAGTGACAATCCTTAAAATGACAGTAAACCTCATGATGAGCTGTGAAATGAAGTCCCAGGACAGAAAGATGACAGCTGTGCATTTCACAAGAGCTTCAAGCCAGGTCCTTCCGTCAGATAGTCTGGAGACCATTGGCCATCATAGTGGTGGGTTTCTGGGCCAGGCATATCACTTCCTAAAGTGTTTCACTTGGCTAAATAAATGACTGGGGCCTCAGTCTTCCCTATTTGGGTTAAGTAAAACCCTCCTAATTATAATCTCTGATGGGTCCCATCACAGAAAGGGGTAAATTCCTTTCTACTAAGAGAACACAGGAAACCAGGCAGCAGTAGCTCATGCTTATAATCCTAGCTACCAGGGAGACTGAAGCAGGATCATGACTCAAAGCTAGTTTAGGCAAAAAGTTCACAAGGCAGTAACTCCAAAGTAACCACTGAGAAACAGGGCTGGAGATAGGGCTCAAGTGGTAAAGTAAGTGTTGAGGTCAAGAGAACCATCACAGGCCTGAGACTGCAGGCAGCAATGTATTCAGTAACAGGGAAAGAAATGCCAATGCCCTGGAGCTAACGCTGGCCCCAAATAATTGATCCCCAAGGTTGGGACTTGTACAGCAATTTTATAATGAAGTATAAATAGTTCTTGCCTATCAGAAGTGACGGGGGTGGCTGGGAAAGTGGCTCAGCGGTAGAGCACTTGCCTTGCATGCATTAGGCCCTGGGTTCGATTCCTCAGCACCACATAAGCAGAAAAGGCGGGATGTGGCGCTGTGGCTCAAGTGGTAGAGTGCTAGCCTTGAGCTGAAGAACTGAGGGACAGTGCCCAGGCCCAGAGTTCAGGCCCCACAACCCACAAAAAAGTGACAAAGGCTGGCCAGAACACCCAGGGCTTACCTCTTGTTCTTCAACTTTCTGCTCTTGCGTGGACTCCTCCTCACTGTCAAATGTTGGAGGGATGCTGTTGTTAATATTGAAAGTAACAGTGATCCTAGAAAGGTAAGTGAGAACACAAGGTGTAGAGTAATTTAAAATGGGCTTGCTACAGACATCTCTTGAAATAATGTCTGAAGCCTAACTGACTATAGTTAAGAATTATCTGAGACACATTAAAGTGTACCAATGAATGGCAATTAAATGAACTGGCTGGGGTAAACCTCAGAAGTAAAATGTCTACCTAGGATGTGCAAGGCTTTGGGTTTGATCCCCAACATCACACAACACGTCCAATAAAGGAAAGATTAATTTATATCAGCCAAATAGCCATCCCTGGGCTACATCCCATCAGGCAAACATCCCAGTGCTCGCTGCAGTATGCCCACTGTTTATTTCACGCCACAGCCAGCTGAAACTGTACACCATGCCTCCCCAGGGGACCCTTGGGTACAAGTGAGAAGTGGTGAGATGGACAAGAGGCTCCTTTAAAAACTTTCAGTATAAACCCTTCTGGAAAGCAGTCAGGAGGCTCCTCAAAATACCATTCCTAGGCATCTACCCTGAACATTATAAGCCAGGTGATAAGGACATGTGCGCATCCATGTTCACTGCTACACTATTTATATGATAGCCAAGATATTGGAAGTGGTGTGTGGCTCAAGTGGTAGAGTGCTAGCCTTGAGCTAAAGAGTGCAGAGACAGCACCCAGGCCCAGAGTTCAAGACCCACGACTAACAACAAAAAAAGTATACCATAATAGCCAAGATATGGAAATAACCCGGATGCCCCACAACAGATGAGTGAATCCAAAAATTGTGTTACCTATATACAATGGAATTTTACACAGCCATTAGAAATAAAATAATGTCATTTTGCAGGGAAATGGATGGAACTAGAACTAATGTTAAGTGAGGTAAGCCAAGATCAGAGACAAATGGTGGTACATGTTCTCTGATACATAGAAGTTAGATCTAAGATGCACTGGGATTTGACAAATTACACAGGGTCCTAGATACAGTGAGACCACTGTATCCTCACATACAGTGAGACCACAAGAGGATGGTCTTAGAGAATCACAAAGGTGTAATACCCAAGCGCCTCTTCACATGTATAAATATATATACCAAAAGTCTAAAGATACGGAAACAAAGGATTTTTGGTTTTTCTTTTTCTAATGACTCTGTGTGCTTTACCCTATATACAGTATATTCACATGCATATCTATGGGAGGGTGCGGGGAGGACACATCTGAAGACAAAGGATGAAAAAGTGCAGCAGTGGAGTGCACTGAACATTGCTGAAAGTGAACTATACAACTCATGGGAGAAGATGGGAGGGAGGGAAGGGGAGAGAATGAGCGAACAGACGACAGTCTTGAGAAAGGAAAGGTACTTATTACCTGATGCACGTAAATGCAACCCCTCTGTATATCACCTCTGTAACAACAAATCTAAAAAAACTTTCAAATAAAAAAACTGCTCCTGAGGAGGCTTCATGAAGAATATGCTACAGTACTGATTCATTCTTCACAATCATAAAATAGGCTAGAATCACCAACTATGATGACTAAAATAATGTTCTAAAAGTTAAGTCAAGATTCCTGTGTAGGTCCAACTCCACAGTACAAGACACTAAATACTGTTCCCTGGAGTTGTGCCTTGCCACTTTTCTATGGAAGAATGGCAGACATGTCTAATCTGTATCAGTGGTTCATGTGGAGCTGCTGGGTATAGGATTGTGATAACTTTATTAAAATATTACTTATTTTCATTTATTGTGTGTTGTATCAAGGCTCAAATTCAGGGCTTCATGCTCTTGCTTGGCTCTTCAATTCACAGACAGCATGCCTACCACTTGAGTCATACCTTCATGTCCAGTTTTCTGATGGTTACCTAGAGCTGTCTCATAGACTTTTCTGCCTGAGCTGGCTTTGAACAATGATTCTCAGGTATCAGCCTCTTGGGTAGGTAGCAAAGATTATTGCTTGGCCAGAACTTTTTAAGCCAAAATTGGCTTTAGGAAAATGGTTAAGTGAAGTTACCAAATACACAGGTGGCCTCGGTATTTAAAAAAAAATTTTCTAGGGTTGGAAAGGTGGCTTAATAGTAGACTGCTTGCCTAGCATGCATGAAGCCCTGGGTTCAATTCCTCAATACCACATAAACAGAAAAAGCTGGAAGTGGCGCTGTGGCTCAAGCGGTAGAATGCTAGCCATGAGCTCAAGGACAGTGCCCAGTCCCTGAGTTCAAGCCCCAATACTAGCAAAAAAAAAAAAAAGAAAGAAAGAAAAAAGAAACACTATATACTAGGCAAATAAATCAGAACCTATTTCACACCATAACAAAAGTCAAAACAAAATGGATCATGGATCTCAACATAAAGAGCTAAAAATATAAAACTCTGCTTTCTTAGATATAAGAGCAAAACAACAACAAAATCTTCTCTGTGCTGCTGTGGTTTGCAACACTGACCATGCAGAAGTTTAAGAGTTTAATCTCCAAAGTTAATGGCACTAAGTTGGCCTGGTGCTAGGAAACAAACTCAGGGCTTCATTCATGCTAACCAAGGACTGACCCCTGAGCTATATTGCATCTCTCCCCCCCCCAAAAAAAGATGGAAACTATGGTTTAGAGGTGGGGCCTTTGGAAAGTAATTAACCTTAAAATCATTTGGGTGGAGCTCCAATAAAAAATTCTCCGTGGTTTTGAGGGGCAGAAACCAGACACATAGATGTTCCATCCACTCTTGCAACATCAAGTAACACCATCCCAGAACCTAGAGAGCAGCCACCACCAAATGACTAAGACTGTGCTTGTCCAGAGTTCTGAGTCAAAATAAACCCTTTTATACCTAGAAATTACTGGCATGGTTATTGCATACAGCTTTCTATTGGCTGAGGGGATGGGGTGCATCTCATGAACATTTTTCCCAAGCTGACCTCCAATTGTGATTTTCTAGTATCAGTTCTTTGAACAGCTGGAATTACAGAAATGAAACCAGCACACCCAGCTTTTTTTGTGTATGGTAATGCTGGGGACTGGGTTCTTATACTTACTAGGCAAGCACTGAAAGTAGTCTGGTTCAGGATTTTTGTTATGGCAGTGAAAAAACAGACCAATCAATACATGTATACACCAATGCATACTACCTACCAAGATAGAGAAGCATAGAGCCCTTTTCAAACCCTGAGACCACCATAAAACAAAACAAAAAGTTGGCACCAGTGGCTCACACCTGTAATCTCAGCTACTCAGGAGACTGAGATCTGAGGACTGAGGTTCAAAGCCAGCCTGGGCAGGAAAGTTCATGAGATTCTTCAATTAACAACCAGAAAATCAGAAGTAGAGCTGTGGCTGAAAGTGGTAGAGTGCTAGCCTTGAGCGAAAAAGCTCAAGGACAGCTCCCAAGCCCTGAGTTCAAGCTCTATGACCCCCCCCCTCACCCCCCAAAAAAGGTGAATTACATAATACACAAATCTTCTAAGTCTCAGTTCTTTGTCAGTTGTGGGGCCTGGGTGCTGTCCCTCAGCTCTTCAGCTCAAGGTTAGCACTCTACCACTTGAGCCACAGGACCACTTCCGGCTTTTTCTGTTTATGTGGTGCTGAGGAATCAAAGCCAGGGCCTCATGCATGCAAGGCAAGTGCTCTACCACTGAGCCACCTTCCCAACCCCAGTCTCAGTTCTTTAAAAAAAAAAAACAAAAAACAACCCAACTACCTCAAAATATGCTAATTGTTTATCTGTAATGGGATTACATATAACATAAAACAGCACAAAAGGGGTTTAATAGTTTAGGGGGAGGAGTTGAATAAGGCCAACTCTACCTTTTTGATGGCCTTGCTACATTGTAACTCCATCCTGTTATTTATGAGTTACTTATATTGCATTTTACCCTACAGGGGGCCATTTTTAGCAACACTAAAACACAGATCAAACTGATTCTGTCTCTATCTCCGGAATCCTTTACCAATAACAATCCTAACAACCTCCAGCTACATTTTTTTTTTGGGGGGGGGGGTTCCAGTTGTGGGGCCCGAACTCTGGGCCTGGGCTCTGTCCCTCAGCTCTTCAGCTCAAGGCTAGCACTCTACCACTTCAGCCACAGCGCTACTTCCAGCTTTTTTTTTTCTGCTTATGTGGTACTGAGGAATCGAACCCAGGGTCTCATGCATTCAAGGCAAGTGCTCTACCACTGAGCCACCTTCTCAGCCCCCCAGCTACATATTTTTGTGCTACTTGTTTCCTTAGTAATCAACCCACAACAAATTTGTATATGGTGAACACACTATCTGGAGTTTATGAAGTTGCCCAAGTCTATCTTGAAAACCATTTTACCAGCATGAGTCTACCTGGAGGAGGTTCTGGGAACGGCCCAGGAGAGATCCTACAAGATCATGGCTTGGGGCTCCGAAAATGGCTCAGTAGTAGAGTGCTTGCCTTGCATGCGTGAGACCCTGGGTTTGATTCCTCAGTACCATATAAACAGAAAAGGCTGGAAGTGGCACTGTGGCTCAAGTAGTAGAGCGCTTGCTAGCCTTGAGCTGAAAAGCTAAGAGACAGTGCCCAGGCTAAGAGTTCAGGCCCCACTACTGACCAAAAACAAACAAACAAAAAAAACAACAACAAAAAGCAATCATGGCTTGTTCTCTTGGAGACCCCAGTTCATCAACCAGTACTTACTTTTCTCCAGCAACTTTCCGAACTAATTTAGCCTCTGTCCCATTCACTTCCAGCTCCCAACCTCCAGACATCTTGGGTAGGGACTTGTGTTTTTGGATTTTTTTTTCTTCCTTAATTTCATCAGTCAAGAAGTCAACAAAAGCTTTGTCTCCTAAAAAGGAAATCCAGATTCAGAAAGTGAAAAGTCAATGTTAGTGTAAAATATAAAACAGTCACCCAGGTTGTTGCAGCTAAACGGAGACTGGGACTGTTTCTAATCTTCCTGGTACTATGTTGCGGGGGCCTTAGTTTTCTGCTGTGAAGCTGAGCTTGACTCTGCGAAAGTTATTCCTAATAACGAACACAGGCCCACCTTTCACTGTAAAAACCAAGGAAATTTCCTGTGCATTCCTCCAGCATTCAGGAGAGAAAGGCAGGAGGCTCGCGAGCTGGAGACCAGCTTGGACTACAAAATGTGGCAAGACCCTGCCTCAAACAACGGGGTGGAAAATCCCAGTTTCTCTCTCTACTTGCCCACCGACACACCCATGCCTTCCACCGCGACTCTTGATCTGAACCACAGATTAAGGCCAAAGAGTTGATTTTTATCCTGGTGGATGGGGAAGCGCGCCCACGC